AATAGGACTTCCAAGTCTAGAACACTGTTCCACACTAAAATCTCAAGCATTAAAATGCAAATAGAGTTTTTTAGAAAGATTTACTTGTGTGTGTATGTGTGTGTGCACACCTCAGAAAGCCAGGAGAGCCTCACATCCCTCAGAGCTGGAGTTACAGGCAGTTATGAGCCTCCAAACACGGGTGCTAAAAACCAGACTGGAGTCTTCTGCAAGAGGGGCAGCACCCTGAACCACTAGGCCATCTCTCCAGCCCCCAGAGGGTATGTGACTGCCTAGCAGAGGCCATGCCACCGAGTTACCTGCTTCTCATTTTCCTCACCAGACTCCTTCCTTCTTGTTGGCTAACAGCAAGCACTTAAGAGACGGCCAGCTATGGTTACAGGAACTCTGGACACACCACGGCAGGCTCAGGATGCAGTCTTGATGCCTGAGGAACCAAGCTAAACTACTGCATACCAAACTTCACACATGGCCGATCTGCACATACCTATGGCATGTTTCTTCTGATAGGAGAGATTATGAAGCAAGTCAAACAAAGGCAGAGCCAAAAACGAGAACGAGACAAAGAAGCAAAGGAAAACACTGTGAACACGCCATTTATAACCCAACTCCGACTCACAACCGCCGCTGCTGTGCTGCGCGTGCACAGGCATTACATCACATCCTTTAATTCAGAATTACAAATGATTCCAGGATTATTTGCTTCCATAACCAGCATGCACGCAATGTGTGTTTATCAGCAGGATGGATTTCCTTTCTCCTCCGTCCCAACTGCAAAGGCGCTGGTCACACTTGCATTTCTCTAGGCTTTGTCCTCCTGACCCCTCCTGGCCTGCATGTAATTCTGCAGGTGAGAGATTTGACCAAATCTTGGTGGTAACAATCCATTTGGCTTTAAGGACACACCTGTCCTCCCACCTCTACCAGAGTGGCTCCTTTCTTCTCCAGTTCTCTCCTGCTGGAAGTTGATAGGAAGATCAACAAGTTAATGTTTGTCAAATACTTTAGGTTTCTTGGAATGAAAGGCAGCATAAAAATTCAAGCCACCTGTGACTGGCCTTACACTAACGTAGCTGACTCTGTATTGGGCTTCAAAGAAAGAAATCAAGGCTGCCAAGACAGTCCTTTGTGGAGAACAGCTAGCTTCTACACCCTTGCTAAAGACAGGTGGTGAGTCCAGCATCCTTTAATTAACTGGATTTCAACATTAGAAATGCAAAGACCCTTACACAGCACACTGAGCCCTTGTTACAGTGAAGAGCACACAGGCAAAGGGCATCTTTCCCTCTGCCCTTCCTCCCTAAGTGGCTTTCCCTCCCCACGTTCCTACTGCCTGGGGTCCTCTGGACCCCCTTCAGTGTGAAGGGCCACATGGCAGCTGCCGGCCAACATGTTTGCTTTGAGCCAATAGTCCTAAAAAAAAAAAGTCAGGGACAAAGCTTTATGTGTATGTTGGCACACATGTGAATTCAGGCTGCTGAGTAACAAAGAACGTATTCATGGCCACATACAACACCGCCAACACATAAACACCGTTCCTGACCTTGTCTCTCAGGCGTTACATTATATAGCATTACGCTGAATTCTCCAAAAATGCCCTGGCAACCTATATTCCGCTGGCTCCACCTTGCAAATGAAGAAACGGACGCTCAGAAAGGCTATGAAGTCAGAGGAGAGCAGCAGAGAGGCTGAGGAGGTAGCTCAGAGGTTCACTGCTCCTTCTGCTCTTCCAGGAGGACCAGAGTTCGATTCCCAGCACCCGCATCCAGCAGCTCCCAACCACTTGTAACTCCAACTCCAGGGGGATCTCTGTAGGTAACTGCACTTAGGGCCACATAGCCACACGCACACATATGCATAATTTAAAAATAATAAGTCAAAAATAAATTTTAAACATAGCAGAGCTGTGCTGGCAAGATGGTTCAACGGGGAAAAGGTGCTTACAGCCAAGCCTGACACCATGAGTTCACTCCCCAGGACCCACATAGAGGGAAGGAGAAAACCTGCTCCCAAAAGCTGTCCTCCACCTCCACACGTGCTCACACATCTACACACAAAATAAATAGAAAAAAATTTAAGTGGCAGAGTTGGAATCAAGTCTAGCTGTTGATACACACACACACAGAGCACTCGGCTGCAGCTCTGAGCCCCACCCACTCCTGGGACCACTCTAGAGCCCTCCCTAGGAAGGCGACAGGGGAGGGCAAATTAAATCCATTTAATCAGTCAGGGAGATCAAAAAGCTCATTTCAGACATTAACTTCCTCCCTACCAAAGCTTTGGTATTTGTTTTCCTCCTTCCTTAATTGGCTAATTAAGTATCTCCCTTTATCTCTTTTTGCCTGCCTTATCTCCAACTAAGTGTTTGCAGTGTTCTGAGGCCCAGAATGAATTTTTTTAAAACACACAGCACTCAGTAACCAAGTAATGAAAAGTTCAAATGCACAAATGTGACTAAATTCTTCAAAAAGGACACGACTCTGGACCCCAGGTGAGCTCAATTTGCTAGCAAAGGGTCAATATTTGTATCCCAAGGGGAAAATTAAGTCATGAGAGACAAAATCACCCAACAGTTCTTGACTTCTGCTCATCCATCTGATCAAAGGAATTCTCCTAAAACTTGTGATTCCCTCTGAATTTTTCATAGTTCAACACTGTCTCCCTAACTATGCAACATAAAACACACAAGCCCGCATTAACTAGAGTGTTAGTAATGACTGCGTACCAGCCATTGAGGGAACCTCGGGAGAACCCTTGGCCTGGCAGGAAACGGCCTCTCCTCCCAGCAGCCGCTCTGAACACACAAGGTCCCACACACACCTCTGTGTACTTCCACCAAGAGGCTGCTCTTGAAATCAGACACGGTACTGGGAGGGGGGTTGCACAGACACCCCAAGGTACAGGAAGCCAGTCCTATGTACCATCCTGAGGTGCCTGGAAGCTGGGATTTGCGTCGGCCAGGACTCCACCACCGGGAATACACTACCGCCAGGATGCTTCAACCCAGTGAAGAGGCCCCTGAGAGAAGCAAAGGGTGGACAGCCTCTGGAAACTTTTCCAGGCAGGGTGCATGCACTCCACACTGGGCTACAAAGACTGAAGGAGATTCCATTTTCAGTTTCAAAGAAAGGAAAGGTGATCCCTAAGACTCTACTAAAAGCAATAACAACTTTTTTTTTTTTTTTTTGTCTTTTTTGAGACAGGGTCTCCCTGTAGCCCCATCTGTCCTGGAACTCACTATGTAGACCAGGCTGGCCTTGAACTCACAGAGATCCGCCTGCCTCTGCCTCCCAAGTGCTGGAATTAAAGGCGGGCACCACCACACCAGGCCAATAACAACTTTTTAAAACTGGGGGTGCCGTGGCACAGAGCCACGTGCTTGAACTCTGCACATGCCAGACACGCATTCAGACTGGGCAAAGGGATGTGATACCTCCAGCTCCAGCTCAAGAAAGCCACCAGTGGCTTGGTGATATATCTCAGTAGAAGGGCACTTGCCTAGTGAATGTGAGGCCCTGGGTCCTGCCCCAGGCACCACAGGTAAAGCTGTCATTTCTACGGCCCAAGCTGTTGTCCCCAGGCAGATGCTAAGGTAACTTTCCAGACAGGGTCCTGCAGTGATCTGGGACGGTGATCACTAAGCCTGTGGAGTGGCTCTTGAATTGAAATCCATTGCGTTTTAATGAAATCAAGCATGGGTCAGTTCGTGCCAATTAAAACATGGTCTAGGCATTCCACAGGTGCCTGTGGGAGAATCAGGCAAGGGGACACCAAAGAGGGGGACTTTTGATCCCTGGAAGCTATTCATGGTCCCTGAAAGTGGGTAACAGGCTTCTGCTGGGGGGGAGGGGGCACAAAGTGGCTGACAGTGCACCAACCTGCCCATACATGCCCCTCTGGCCACACCAGCCAAGACTATCCTGTTCCCACTCACTTTGCCCAAGCTGTTTCCTCTACTGGAATGCAGTCCCCCCAACAACTCCCCAGCTGAGCATCATTCCCGCCCTGGAGGCCCAGGGCACCCCTTTCCTCCAGGACCAAGCCTTCCTCAGGCTCTCAACAGAGCCCGTCTCTTGCCAAGAATCTCTCCCCATGCGCCCATGGGTTTCCTTCAGGACGCTGCAGACACCTGCCCTGCCTGTGATCTAGCAGAGTGGAAGTCTCAACACTGGGTTTGTTGAATGAATGAGTGGGGAATCCATTGCAAGAAATTAACACGTTCGTGGAAAAGTCTGACCAAACCCTCAGAGAGCCTTGTAGAGCGCTCTCCTCCTGCAGGAGCGGTATCAATCAGTCCTGGACAGATTAAAGTCAAAACCCTACAATCTCCCAATTGGAGTAGAGATTGGGGGGCGGGGAGGGGGGACAAAGTGAAGGAGCGCACCGCTTCTCTCCTTCCAGAGGAAGAGGTAGGAAACTCGCAAATATTCAAAATCTAGCCATGGGGGTCACGTGGGGAAAGGGCTACTACTCAGAACCGCAAAGTTCTAGGTGGAGACCTGGTCTGAGATGATATGGCCACAAGCTTTTCCTGCGCTCCTGCCCGACCACCCAAGCGGGAGCCACGAAGCCTCTGAAGCTGGGTGGCATGACTGAGGTCTGGGGGACGGGGGGCACGCCGGCCCTTCTCCTCCCAAATGCAGCCCCACAAGACTGGCAGGGCGAGGTAGGGGCGCTGCGCTGCGTCCCCCACTCCAGCTCGACAGCTCTTTCCTGCTCCAGCCCCCGCGGCCTGGGGATCTCCAGGCTGCCCTTCCCCGGCCCTTTCCTTCCGAACCCGCGAGCGACAGGGACGGTGGCGGCTGCAGCGCGGAGTCCACAGACCGCGCTCCCCCCTCTTCCAGCTCAGCCCAGACTGCCGTGCGCCCCGCGCCAAGGGCAGCGGCCGACCGGCCCCTCGCGCCCCCGCCGCGCTGCCAGGCGTCCCGGGCGGCCGATCTCGAGCTGGCGATGCCAGCGTGGGCCCCGGGGGTCTGCAGCCCGCGCCCGGCATGGCTTACCTGCTCACACAGTCCGGAGGCGCCCGGAGTCCCGAGCGCTGACCATCGGGGAACCGGGGTCCCCGCCGCTGGATTCCAGGAGCTGGAGGAGGAGGGACGCGGGGAGGCGCCTCCGCTATCAGGGCGCACCGAGGACTGGGGGTCCGGGGCGCTCGGCAGCGGGGTGACGCTGGGAGGAACCACCGAGGCCACTGGGCGCGGGTGGCTCCCCGGGGAACTGCCCTGCAGACCAGGCGCCGAGCCCCCAGGAGCGAGCTGGACCGGCCCCGCAGCCGCTGTTGCCAGCGGGCAGAAGTTGGGAAGAACTTGGAGCGGCCGGGAGAGCCGGAGCGCCAGGAAGCGCGAGCGGCCGCGAGGGCGGAGGAAGGGGCCGCGCGAGTGGGAGGGGACGCAGCAGGCGCCGCCGGCCACGCTCCCCCGCCCCCGGCCGAGCTCCGCCGCGCTGGGGGCCGAGAGGCGGGGAGAGCAGGGGCGCGCGGGCCGAGGAATGTGGCCGGGCGGGGGCGCGCGGGGCGGGCGGGGGCGCGCGGGGCGCGCG